CTTGTGGGCAATTAAAGCTCTTCACATATTCAGAGAATTCTGAAAAACGCTGATGGTTTCCTTTCAATATTTTCAAAACAAAACATCGTGGCTTTATCGTTTTGAAATTACGTTTCAGGTAGAAATTCAGATAGATTGAACCAAAAGAAAAAAACAAGCACAAAAAAGAGTCAAAAACACCCCAAAATGAAATATTTTGACCTTTGGTTTCCAAGTGAAGGTTAATTTTCAAAGTTAACCAATTAACCCCTTCCCCACCAAAGTAAAAACAACAGGGATAAAACCACTCATAACCAAAACACTTTGACTTCCTATTTTGAAACCACATTTTGTTTCACGATGAAGCCAGATTTGACAAAACAATATGACAAAAAATGCACAAAAAAGCCAATTAACCCCCCCCCCAGCCCTCGCAAAAATAAATATTTCAACTTTGCATTTCAAAGAAAAACATTTGATTTGAAATTTATCCAGATTTAACGAAAATCAAAAGAGCTTAAAGGCACCCAAAAAGAAACAGTTTCTTCTGTTTAAATCATGGTATTTTGCTTGACAAGTTTAAGCCAATCCTGGCCACCAGAATGAACAGGACGGCAGGATCTGCTAAGGGAATTGCAGGTCTGGAAGGAGAGCATTGCAGGATCTCACCCCAAGGGAGTTGAGGGCTAGAGGTTTAAGAGGAGGGTCTATTGAGATGGATGAAGGGGCAATAGGGCCAGTTACCTCTCAGCCTGTGAGAGTGGTCTGCTCCTATGAAGTCCATGTACAGCTGTGGGCCATCTCCACTTGGCCCAGTGGCTGCATGTCGATGTTGAATAGGATGGAGAAAGAGTCATTCCTTGTACAGTTGAGGGGTGTGACAGGAGAGGGACAGTTTCCCATCACTATGCCTTGGGTGTGTCCCTCTCAGAAGGTGTCACATCATTGTAGCACCATCCCCGTGACCTCTGCCACTTCTCTCAGGCAGGACACTGGTAGGGCAGTATTTTAAGCCTGAAGGTGAGTAACCACTGGAAGCAATTATCAAGGGGAGGGGTGCATTTTCCAGCCCTCAGTGGAGCACAAGAGCTGTTTGTCTAACTTCTTGAAAACCTCCAATGATGAGGATTCCACAGCCTCCCTGGGTAACCTGTTCCAGTGCCGAGCTACCTTAGAGTTAGAAAGTTTTCACTAATTTCCTACCTACATCTCCCTCGCTACCACCGGACATGCAGCACAACTCATCACCATCCTCTTTAGAGCAGCCCTTGACATATTTGAAGGCAGTTCTATCCCCTCTCAGTCTTATTCTCTCTACACTGAACACACCCAGTTCTTTCAATCTTTCTCTACAGCTCATGTTTTCCAAACATTTTGGTTGCTCTCCTCTGAACTTTCTCCAATCTCTCCACATCTTTTTTACAGTGCAGGCATTCGGATACAGATGGAATATCTTTCTAGAAGACACTTCAGCCAAACCCAGATTATCAGGCTGAGTGAAATGTAATGGGTTGTGCTATAAGGAGGCCAGACTAGGTGATCTGATGGTCTGGTCTCGCCTTAAGCTGTAAGAATGGCACATTTGACCGTGTCGAGTGGTGCAGAAAGATCCAGCAGGATGAGCATGGATGTCTGTTCTCACCCCTTGATAGCGGGAGATCATCCATGAGTGCCACCAAAGCAGCTTCAATTCCATGTCCTGGCCTTCAGAGAAGGAGGGTTCAGTAGAGAGGCACAAGAACAATTGCAGGGTTAGACAACACCCCGATCATGAGAAACTCAAGGAGCTCAATCTGTTTAGCTGAACAGAGAGATGGTAAAAGGTGTTTTGATCTCACATGGGGGCTGCAAAGCCTGGGAGGGCCGAAACTCCCACGGCACCACTGGCAGGACATGCAGAGCCACCTCCAAATAGCACTGCAGTGAGTAAGCACCACAGGAAGTACCGCCCAAAGGACCCAGAGTGACAGTACCCTGCGGCCCTCTGATTGGTCAAGCGCACTATTTAACCCTGGAAGGTGCCCCAGAAGTTGTCTGGGTAACTACACAGATGTCAGGCCTGCTCTCACTCCAGACCTCACATTGCCTCCTGATCTCCAGTCTCTGACCCCAGCCTGACTCTGACCCTGATTCTTGTTTTTGAACCTGGCTCTGTTGATTCCTCTGATCCCTGCTCACTGACTACCATCCTTGACGTGTGGACCCCAGCCCAGCAGTGACCACTAGGCCAGACAACCCAGGCCCTGGTCCCTTACAACGGGAAAAAAAGCTTTGATAATGCACTCTTCAATTTAGCAACCAACAGTGTCCGGATCCAACTGCTGGAGCTTGGAGCTAGACAAATTCAGATTGGAAATAAGGCACAAAGTTTTAACAGTGAGGGGAATTAACTATTGGAGTTACCTGCCAATGGAGGTGGTGGATATTTCATCACTGGCCATCTTTAAATGTAGAGGGAAGGTTTTCTAAAAGCTCTAGTTCCAAGAGGAATTAAGTCAGGGTAGTCCTGCGGCCTAGGTTATACAGGAGGTCACACGAAGTGGTCACAGGGGTCCCATCTCACCTAAAAATTTATGTATCAGGCTATGCTGGGGACTAAGATATTAGCTTCCACATGTTACCCCAAAAACAGGTTTTGGGGTGCCCCCAGAATAGCCCACCTAATGCACCCTTAATCTGTTCTCCCTTAGCTATGAGTCTGCAGGGTGGCTAAGGAATACTTGGAAGACACAGATACA